ACGGAAAGTGCTTCATTCCACGAGTTGCATTTGGATTTGTGTAAATTTAACACGAATAAATTTTTGCAGGCCACTAGTTTCCGAACAAGGAAGGCTTTCGAGGGCGAGAGGTGTTATCCAGAGCATTGCAGTCGACGCTTTGTCCATGGTGGGTAGAGCAAAGGTAATAATGAAGTTTCAATCGTCTTGGCACTCACTCGGAAATATTTTTGTGTCGTTTTTCCATAGACCGCTTACAAGATGACCATGGGCTTTGGCCAAGATCAAATTCACGCGTCCTCAGTATTCAGTATGCCGATGGTTTCTTCGTCGCGAAGTTCCTGGAGAAATCCATCTCTGTACAACGATTGGCTTTCGTCTTCTTCTTCGTTCCCCCCTCCCGCAATCGACGAAGAAGTTTTGACGTCCGAGAGAGTTTCCATCCCTCAAGACGTATAGACTTCGGGAGGTATGACTTGTTTACTTCTCTTGCCTGTTCCCTGTTCCTAATCTAAGCTCAACTTCTGCAGCTACGTGACTCGATTGCGGCCGAGTCGAGTCCCGTGAGCTGCTGGCGAGCGACGCATTTGAGTCGTGTACATTGTTGAAGAAGTTTTCCTGCTGGTGGGCTTGGACCAAGGAAGAAATGACTGCCTTTGGGTCCGACAACCTACACAGCACAGGAGCAAAGTTTTGGTGGCGGATCAAAATTCGCCTTTATACTTACATGAGAGCACCGGTAGGCCAATCTTGTTCCATAACGAGTCTTCGTGCGTGCAGCAGCTGTTCGCGCTCTCTCTCTGCAAGATCAAAGTATAGAAGACGATGCGCTCTAAGTTTCTCTCACCTTGGCGGTGCCGATTCATGTGTCCTCCCAGAGCTTGAGACTTTGCAAACTTCATCGGACAGAAGCGGCACTCGTAAGGCCTGGAAGACGATGGCTCGTTGCTGCACGAAGAAGCGGCCATGGAGGAAAGGCTGCGAGGCCGGAGTCGAGGCCGAGGACGAGGCTTTGGAGGTGGCGGCGGTGGTGGCATCTGACAGCAGCTGGTAAAAGAATAATTCGCAAACGCAGTGCAACGCTAAGGATTGGAATCGTGACGAGCAAGAGGAAGAACGAAAGAGTGATTTTTTGGAGGTGAGTTTATACTGACCAGCTCGATGATCTTGTTGTGCTATCGCAGTTGCATTGGGACGACGAGGATGGAGTAGTCGGGGACAAGTTAAGATCAAGAGACGATGCTTCATCCATCGCTGCGAGAAGACGAAGTAGTACTAGAGTTCTTGCGAAAATAGGATCTAGTCAAGTATAATTGGGGTGATCAAAGAGTGACGAAAGATTCTTTGGTTCTTTGTTTAATCTTTGCATCGGACTTTGCCAACACCAATGAAGAGAAAGTTCTAACTTCCAAAACTAGCCTTTAAGCCCTAATTTTATCTCTTTAAAGCGACCTTTAGAAGATCCAAAAGTAACAAACCCTAAAATCTTTGTTCTTTACCGTTGGATCGGGATCGGTTATCTAGGGCTTGAGCTATTTTTTTCCCTCTCTTTCTCTCGTCGTGCGGGCGGATGAGATGCTGGCTGCCGCCGTGAATTCCACCTCCACCGCCACCTCCGGCTCGATTCCTCCTCCTCCTCCTCCCGCCGCTCCCGCCGTTCCCTCTAGGGCGAGGAAGCGTCCTCCCACTTCTAGGTCTCACTCCATGGTCGCAGCAGCTCCGGAAGAACAGGGCATCGACAATGGCGGCGCTGCCGCCGTTGCTGGCGCTGCGAATCCCGCGAGCAACACGGCCAATGGCGGCTGCGAGACGTGCTGCAGCGTCGGGAATGGGGAGGGCGAGGCGGTGTCGTCGCCGCTGCGCAAGACATCGCTTCGGGCGCCCAAGACAGGTAACAAGGTAGCTAGATCTTCACACAAGCAGGATAGTTCTTCGCGGCCGGGGGCGGAGACTCACCACCATCTCGCGGGGCCGCTCTTCTCCAAGCCGGTCTTCATCGCTGTGATGCTGGCAGTGATGGCCACTACTGCCTGGAAGTGGAGCCGGGATCCAGGGGTAGCACCGGGGATCTCGATCGCCCAGATGAAAGAGCTGGAGGATTTCTCGAGGAAGACGACCAAGTGGATGCAAGTCCAGCTCGAGCTTGTGGATATGAAGATCGGGAAGGAGATCGAGGGGCTGAGGAGAGATGTGGAGGACAAGATCGAGGAGCAGGCGTTGGCTCTAGAGACGAGCATCATGAACTTGAAATCACAGGTGGAGGATATGGATTCTTCCGTGCAAAGGCTCACGCAGGACGGGCTTCTCACGAAGAAGGAAGGGATGGAACTCATCGCGTCGATTATCCAGCAGCGAGCAGCGGAAGAGTCTGGAAAATCTCTCACTCTGGACGACGTGAGAATCGCTGCGAGACAGATCGTGGAAGCGGAGCTGGAGAAGCACTCGGCGGATGGAATCGGTCGGGTGGACTATGCTCTTGGCAGTGGAGGAGGGAAGATCATCGAGCACTCGGAGGGATTTTTCACGGGTGGCCGGGCGGGGTGGCTGAGCATTCTTGGAGCTGGGCTCTCGGCCGGTGGCGCGGTGAGGCATCCCATGGCTCACAAAGTCTTGGAGCCGAGCTATGGCGAGCCGGGTCAGTGCCTTCCACTCAAAGGAAGCAATGTTTTCGTGGAGATTGCGCTGAGAACTCACATACATCCCGACGCCATTACGATCGAGCACGTCCCAAAGGTATGATCTCTCCTTTTTTTTTCGAGTGTTTGAGCGAGAGACCTTGATCCGGGAGTGAGAGAAACTTAGCTTAGCGCTAATCTGGCGAGACTAGAGTTTGGTTCTTCCTCTTTCTTTCTTCGACTGTTTGAGCGAGACAGAGATAGAAAACTTCGATCGAGAGAAACTTAGTCCAGCGTTTTCTTCAAGCTCTCGAGACTAAAGTTTGGTTCATCCTCTTTCTTCCAGAGCGTGGCTTACGACGTGACGAGCGCTCCCAAAGATTTCCGCGTCTTTGGCTGGCTGGAGCGAAGCATCCAAGCCGGGACGATCGCGCGGCCAGTGAAGAAGCTCTTGCTGGGAGAATTCAGCTATAGTTTGGATGGATCAAACATCCAGACTTTTAGCTTCCCGGAAGAAGTGTCGAGGGAGCTGATCAACACCGTGCGAATCCACATTACTTCCAACCACGGCAGCTCCTCTCACACTTGCCTCTACAGAGTTCGCGTCCACGGCTTTGAGCCATCGCCACAACATTTTTAGAGCTCTTGTTCTTCGTGTAAATTCTTTCTCTTCTTTTAATATACATTGTGTTTGAACAGACGAGTGTGGAGGCGCCCTAAACCTAAGCTATGAGATATGGGAGATGAAGCGAGCTGGGATTCGCGGCGTGGCAGCCGCGGCCGAGCTTCTTCCAATCGATCGGCAAGCTCGTCACAGCGCGCGGCAGCGCCGGATGGTAGGGATTTCATCGGCAGTATCAGGCGGAGGCAGCAGCAAGCGAGGGGTTTGTCGCGGAAATGGGGGTCGATCAATCGCTACATTCTCCAGGCGCGGCAGTGGGCCGAGCAGGAGCCGACGCTGCTGGCGCTCCAGGCCGCGCTGCTGAGATTCGTCGACAAGCTGGTGCCAGTCATGGCGAGAATTCGATCGAGGGCCGGGAAGGTCGTCGAGCGATGGTGGCCGGGAGTGGAGAGATGGGGCATATTCGCTGGCAGGTTTTTCCTGATTCTTCTCGTCGCTACGCTTGACTGTTCGCTGCGAGGGATCAAATCGGTCTTGCGATTGAGCTCCGCGGCCTTGTGCCTCATTTTTTGGTGCTCCATTCTCAACCTCGCGGTGCTCGCAGGATTTCTCTCCATCGCCATTGCCACTGTAAGTTCTCGAAGCTTTGGCCTTTGCTTCTTTCTCCATTTTGTTTGCTTCATACATAGTTTTTTCTTCTCTTCCAGGTGGTCACGATAGTCACATCGTTTTTCCTTGGATTAACTCCAGGTTTCATCGTCCTGAGCTTGTATGGAGCTTCTGTTTCGTGGATGTATGGGAGCTTCTGGACGACGTTCGCAGTCGTCTTAATTGCAGGTCAGTGACTTTTGGTGAAGTGGATTTCTTCTCACCGTCGTGCTCCAGGCACTCTCTACCTTTTCCAGCAGCCTGCCGCCTGGATCATCCTCTTGCTCTACGCGGTTTACTCGTGCAAGGTCCATGGAGGGTGGCTTGGAGTGTTTCTCTGCTGTGGCCTGTCCTTCGTGTCCAGTGACGTGATCGTTTACTTGGTCGCTACTGTCGAGCAGAGAAGACAAAGTGAAAAGGTACACGATCGGTTTAGTAAAGGCAAGGCAGCTCCCAAGTCCAGTTCTCAAACTCAAAGATTTAGCAGTGCTGCTGAAGACGAGAATTCGCCTTCCGTAAGTGGTGCTCCTGATGTCGACCAAACGGTGGCAGAGGAAGAGGTTGCACGAATTCTGGGGTCCGGGGATCACTATGCAGTTCTTGGCTTCCAACGGTTTGAAGTTTGCGAAGAGTCCGCTCTGAAAAGAGAGTACAGGAAAAAGGTTTGATCTTCTTTTCTGTTTTTCCTTGTCCAGTTTGGTTGACGATTATGGTGCAGGCAATGTTGGTTCATCCTGATAAAAACAAGGGAAACGCCAAAGCGGAAGAGTCGTTTAAGCGATTACAAAATGCTTATGAGGTCGAATCTTGCTTTACTCTTGACAGTGATACTATAATGCAGTCTTCCTTGCAGGTTCTTCTGGACACTGCGAAGAAGAAATCTTACGACGATGATTTGCGGAGGGAGGAGTTAATCATGAACTTTCGACGAAACGGCTTTGGCTTCCATAAGGTAAAGCTCGGAGCCAGCGGGATTTTTCTTCGCTAATGATTTGCTTGCTTGTCTGCGACAAACAGAACGGCAGGTGTGAGTCGCCAGATTGTGGGTGTCACAATCTCGATCACCAAGACGAGGGAGCTGAAGCCGAGCTAGTTGACGCACGGCCTATTGTCTGTAAGAATTGCAAGCAGCTCCACATGTGGACGCCTACGGACAGGAATAAGCAACACGCGAGGTGGTGTCAAGTACGTATTTGTTAGTTCCTCACGATCAGTTTAGATTTCGGAGGTGATATTCTCGTCCGTGTCAATTATGCCAGGAGTGTCAGGAATTCCATCCGGCCAAGGATGGAGACGGCTGGGTAGAACAATTCGGTCATGCTGTCTTCTTTGGTTTGTTCCAAAAGGTTGGTAATTAGTTGAATGTAGGACGCAATTTGGTTGTGAAGATGAGCCGTGGTGCGTGTTTTTTTTTTTTTTTTTGTTCCTTTTTTGTTTTGTTCTATCAGGTGGATGTTCCTCAAGCATACGCTTGCGCTGGAGACATGGTGTTCAACGTAACGGACTGGGCGATTTGCCAGGTAACGGAGCTCATTAAAACTCGTCTCTCTTGAAAACTTAGACATTGGCTTCTTCCACAGGGCATGAAGTGTCCAGCAAACACGCACAAGCCTTCGTTCTTCGTGAGCACACAGGCAGCCATGGGAGGAGGAGGAGGATCTTCATCGAAAAAAGGCAGGAAAGGCAACGTTGCCGAAGGATTTCCATTCCCCGACATGGCGGAGACGATGAACGAGCAAGAGTTTTACGACTGGTTCGAGAAGGCGATGGCTTCCGGGATGTTTGGAGGCGCGAGTTCTTCTCACGGCGAGCAGCAAAGCCATCACCAGCAACAGCAAGCTTCCTCGTCGTCGTCCAAGCAAGGCCATCGAAAGAAGAAGAAAGGAGGCAACAAGAAGCAGTGGTGAAGAACGCATACGTAGATAAAAGCTATATAATCTCAGGAGTGGGATTCGAACCCACGCACGCTCTTTGTCCCCGATTTACCCCAGCAAATACTTTTTTGTCACATCGCTTGCGCGGTAAAAAATGATGGAATGATGAATTTGCGTAACAGAAAGCTGGCGATGACTGACGGGGTCAACTACGGACGGAATATGCCGTGCGGCGGGGAAGAATATTCTGGGAACCAAGCGTGGGCACACGTCATCCTCCTTCATGGGGATGTCATGTGCGGCAAACGGCCGCCGTGCGGTGACGCAGTTCTTTCCTTCCATCCATCTCTCTTGGTGTGGTGGTGTTTGTTTTTAGAGTGAGCTAGGTCTAGAATGAGCTCGCAAGTACCGCGAGGACGTCGCCAAGGCCTAGGCGCCGCAGGGGTGAGCGCGCGCATTCTCGGCTCGATCGGGGAGCTTCTTGGAGAGATTATGACGCCGCGATCGCTCCTCGGCGAGGTTACCGTCACAGGTGGATGAATTTCCCGGGATCTTGGCAGCGCATTCTCTGATCGGGAGCTCGGGAGCTTCTCTGATCGGTTGCTGCCATAGATCGTCGTCACAGGCGGCTGAATTTCGGAGAATCTTGCGGCGCCGCTATCATGGCCAAGGCGATCGTCCCCGGGCTCCAAGAAAGGCTGCGATCGCTGGTGAATGGCAAGGGCTGGGACTACGTCGTCTACTGGAAGCTCAACGACGATCAGAGGTATGGGATATGTTCTTCGCTAGCATGGAAAGACCTGTGTCGAGGATTTTGTGGCTCATCGCTCGCAGGTTTATCGATTGGGTGGGCTGCTGTTGTGGCGGAGTGACAGCAGGCCATGGAATTGGAGCGGATTTTTTCTCGCCACAGCCTCACTACCTGGATGGAGGAGCGCCTTGTCCCGATATCTCGTTCCCCCATCCATCAACAAAGACGTGTACGCTTCTCTCCGCCATGACGCTCTCTCCTTCCATTCCTCTTGATTCGGCCGGGTAAGAACAAGTATGAGCTCGCTCGCACAGAGAAACTGTAGTGAGTCCTTTAGCTTCGTGCGTGTGCTATCATATGTCACGAAACTCTTGTTTGTGTACTTACGCTTTGGTGGTTTCTTGGCAGTGTTCACGCTCAGGTGCTTTTGTCAGGGCAGCCTCGCTGGATTAACTTCTCGCTGGAGAGTAACCAGGTATATAAGGAGGGATTTTACTTAGAGATTGTGTCGTCGTGGTGTGGTAACGGAGGTTTTGCTTACAGCACGAAGGCGTGCAAACCAAAGTTTACATTCCAATCCAGAATGGAATCGTGGAGCTCGGATCGTCAAGCCAGGTGCTTTTGATATGCTAGAAGTGAGATGACAAAGCATTGATTCTTTTCTCTCTTGTTGCAGATTGCCGAGAATGCCATGGTCATTCAAAGTGTAAAAGCAAAGTGTGGGGATCCATGGCAGGATTTTCAGGTTGGCAATTACAATTCCATGCGAACTGGCTTGTTATGTACCTTTCTTTTCCACTGTCAGGGTTTCCAGGAGAACGTTGACCAGCAAGGCTTCAAATCTCTGTACAAGAACCAAGAAGATGGTTTAGACAAGCACTTCAACGGCCATGGCGACCAGGTGCACTGGACTTCGGCGCTGGACACTCACCCTTGGGAACACGACGTAGGATTTTCCGACAATCAGTTCTCACTGAACATCGCGGCACCGACTCAGCTCAACTTCCTTGGGCAGCCCTCTAAAACGGGTGGTCAACCGTCGGACCACTTTGACAAGCAAGTTGACTGTTCCCGCCCCGAGAAACAAGTGCCGCCATTTGTGCAGGGGCTGCAAGACGTCCCTCCTCTTGCTCCTCCAAATCACAGCTTCTCGGAGTCTCCTCACGGCAGCGGCGTCTCCAAAGAGAACTCCGAAGTCAAGCAGGAGACGCGCGCTGATTCGTCAGATTGCAGCGATCAGGTGGACGAAGACGATGAGAAAGCCACCGGCCGCTCTGGCCGGCGGCACTTGTCCAAGAACTTGGTCGCCGAGAGGAAGCGGAGGAAGAAGCTTAACGAGCGCCTCTACTCTCTCCGAGCATTGGTCCCAAAGATAACCAAGGTAACGATTTGAGACTGACATTATAAATGGAGATGAATGACTGACAGGGTGGTTTCCTGTGTCTCAACAGATGGACAGAGCATCAATCTTGGGCGATGCCATTGAGTACGTCAAGGAGCTACAACAACAAGTTAAGGAGCTGCAGGACGAACTGGAGGACGATTCTCAGGCTGCCAACAATATCCCCGCAATGACAGACGTTTGTGGTGGAGGACACAAGCACCCTGGGAGCGAAGGAATCACGATTGCAGACGTTGACACCAACAAATGTGCCTTGAAAGCGGATGATATCAACGACAAGAAAGTGGAAGATCTCACGCAGCCAATGCAGGTAAGTACTTTGCAACAAAAAACACACGGCAAGTCTTACAATGTTTTTGCAGGTGGAAGTGAGCAAAATGGATGCTCACTTGCTAACTCTGAGGATCTTTTGTGAGAAGCGGCCGGGGGTGTTTGTGAAACTGATGCAGGCACTGGATGCGCTGGGTTTGGACGTCCTGCATGCAAATATCACCACGTTTCGAGGATTAGTCCTTAACGTTTTCAATGCCGAGGTAACGTTTTTGCTTTGGTTCTTTTCGTTTTTATCGAGTGAAGTTTTGGCTACTGTAGATGCGGGACAAGGAACTGATGCAAGCTGAGCAGGTCAAAGAGACGCTCTTGGAAATGACATCGCAGCCAGAAGCGCGAAGTAGCTCGTCGCTTGTGTCTGAGTCTCATATGGGAGTGATAACTATTGATGGATAAACGAGAATGCTGCCAAGTTAAAAATGATGGAATTTCCAATCTTCCATGACAAATATCTATTTATCATCAATTTCGAACATAAATGTAACTTCCACTTGGAGTGTATACAACATGGATTTGGGAGGTTTAGTTTTTTCAATCTCCTTACTGATTATGTTATTTGGAGGCTCAGGCTCAGACTGTTCTTGTGAGAGTGTTGAGTATAACAACGTTGCTAACTTCACGATTTTAGGGGATGGTTATAATTTCAAGCCCGGAGCAGCTCTTAGATTGCAAAGATCACAATAAGAGGAATGCAATTGCTAGGTGGTTGAATATGGAATATGGAAGGCATGAGATAGGAGACAATAATCCCACTTACAGTTATTTTGTAGAGGATTTGCAGTGTTTTGAGATTACTTCTTTTAATGGATGGGGTCATTTTAGAACCACAAATGGATGGTATGGTTGGAGTTTCTGGGCCTTCACAGGGAGTTTCATTCAATCTTCTGACCACTTGAGTGTTGATTTTCTTTAATTCTTGGTTAACCATTGGGTGTTCCTAGTTTATGTTTTGTTTATATTTAATTGAAGTTTTTAGTTGTATATTTTGAGTTTACTAAACTTCTTCACAAAATTACTAATAAAATTCTTTTTATTTGTTATTTGCCATCTGTATGTTTAACAAAAAGCAAAAGTAAAGCTGTAAAGGTGCAAGCTGTAAAGTTTATCCATCGATGCAAACTTCCATTTCTCGCGATGAATGTTAGGACATGGAAAATAAAATCTAGAGGCAGCAAGCTATGTACCAAGCTCTAGTTTTTCCGGCTTTTACGATCTTGCTACTGGCACGGTTTCAAATCTCAGATTCATGCAGAGCTGCTGGTGCTAGGTATAGTCTTAAGGCCGTTCAGCCCAACATATCAAACGCTTCAGCTATTTCACCGAAAGCTTACAGTGCTTCGAAGTTTATGTCGTTCAATGGTTGGGGCCATTACAAGTCGGGGCATGGGTTTACCATCGATTTTACCTGAACATCATTAACAAATGTAAAACCATGACAATAAGCTTGAAAAAGATTTGGTTTCCAGAACTAGTCTGAAAATCAGAGACGAGTTTTCTTTCACGTGACTCAGCAGAAAATGGATGGATTATCACTCACATCTATCATCAGAAACTGTGAAATAACTGGTCATCACTGCCACGAGTAAAGAAGGGGCTCATCTATGGCAATTGGCTCAGCAACTCGGTGAAATTTTCACTCATGTTGCCTTCAGACAAACTGTGAAATTTCTATAGACATCATCGCCATTCTAGCCTCTAGAAGGGAAGAAAAACTTACAAGGAATTCGTGGCCTCCTAGTTGGAGCGAGAATGGAGCTTTACTTGACCCATCGCAAGCCATTGTAAGCACTGCCAATTACGCGTTATAGAAGGTGAGAAGAGAAACACACAAACACAAAACAAACCTACTTTGAAGGCATGGATTCAGTGACCACTCCCAATCTTTAGCGCGCTCAGGAACATATGTTCTAGTGCCGCTTCTCGACAAAGTGCTGCGAGCTTCGACATGTCAGTCTCGCCGAGCTCTTCGATTTGAGTCGTCTTGAACCGGCGCAGCTCGTCAATGTTGCGGCCAGCAGGACACTGCTCCTCCTCGAGAGCCCGCAAATTCATAGCTTGCCATCTCAAGTGACGAACTCTCTTCACATATTCGGTAATATTTGTGTCTTCAGCCTGGACAAATAGACAATCATGATGTGAAACTACACACATAAACATACCTCAATGATTAGAATACCAGGAAAGCCAGGCTTGCAGTAGCCACCCACACGAAGTTCCTTTCCCCACTCCACGATACATTTCCTTTTCCGCGTGGACTTGATATGATGAAACCTTCACAAAAGTGATCGAGCTAGAAATTGTTGAAGATTCACAAAAGAAAACAAACCAAAAGAGTTTTCTCTTTAGGAGTTGTGACGCTCCAGACATCGATGAGGCGTTCGAGGATTGAGTGGTTTGATCGCTTTCTGATATCCGCCAAGCCAAGTCCTACACAAGACAGGTTAAGAACCTCCAAAATGGAAGCGAGAAGAAACTTACCTGTACTTTTTGTAGCACTAAAAGAGTCGATTCCTGTCCAAGAGCTCCCTCGGCAACGCTGGCTGCCGCTCGATTTAAGCTGTCAAGTTGATCTCTTGCAACGCTTCCATGGCATCTCACGTTGACAGCCACCGCTTGGCTCTCTGGATAGTCGTCCGGGAAGGTGAACTGGATGCTTAAACTCTCAAGCAACTTAAGGTGGACAGTGAACGAGACAGAGCCACCATAGCCAGTCTCAAACTCTCCCTGGCCAGAGTATATAGACCGCAAAGCCTCCACCTGTGGATCGAGAAATTTTTTTTTATCAGAAAACCATAGAAAACTTTCAGAAATTCTTCGCAGTGGAAGAAAGTTTTCCAGCATCGACCAAAGAGAATTTTCAGCAATGCGCAAAACCAAATTTGCATTTGATCGATGCACATTCAAAGAAAGAAAGACTTTTATGAAATTATCGCGAGAAGGGTCTATGAAAAGAGGAAAGAAATCGAAAACGATGAGATTCATACGCATCGACCAAAGAGAATTTTCAGCAATGCGCTAAACCACATTTGCATATGACCGACGCACATTGAAAGGACCTTTATGAAATTATCACGAGAAGCGTCTATGAAAAGTGGAAAGAAATCAAAAGCGACGAATTTCATCCGCAGAAAAAGCAGGAACAATCGATCGCAAGCAAACATTTTACCTCGTCTAGCTGCCGCTGGAGATTCGCGGAAGTGTGGCGGCGTCCATCCATAGCTCTAGCTCCGCGCTGCCGCCGCCGCCGCCGCCGCCCCCCATTCTGGAAAAGAAGAACCCTAGTGGGAGAGAAGGAAAGCAGCATTAAAGAAGAATTTTTTAGGGCTAAAAGAAATTACTTGCTAGGGCGGACAGGATGGTGATGGCGATGGCGATGGCGCTGGCGCAGTGGCTCGCGGCATCCGAGGCGTAAGCGGTTCGATCGCGGCGGCGAGCTCGGCAGCTAGATCACGGTCCTAGGATGCTGGTGAGCTCGCCGCTGATGAAGGGCTTGTTCGATGCCCCTCCCCAATTCTGCCGTGGACGCGCTTGGCTTCGCGACGCTGCTCCTGGTGCTGGTGCTCCTCATCCTCGGCGTCCTCTGCGCGGCCTACGTTCTCCACTTCCGCTCCAAGATCCACCACGACAATCTCTTGGCCCTCAGGCATTTTAATTCCCTCTGGATCGTTCGCCTCATCCTCATTCTCTTCGCGGTTCTCTGGGGATTGGGCGAGCTCCTCCGGCTGCCACTGCTGCGAAAGAAGGGCTGGTTCCTCCACAGGCTTGGATTCCGGTGGCAAGTCACCAGCTGCAAGATCTACATTCTCTCGTCGCTGGGGATTCTCGAGCCGTGCTTCTTCCTCACCGCGCTCTTCCTCGTCCAGGGATCCATCCGCAACGCTCCCTTCACGCCGAGAAAGAGATGGAACGGGAGAGTGATCGTCTCGGTGCTGGGATTTTGCGCTCCGGTGTTCCTCGCGCAAGTGTTCTTGGTGGTGGTGAGCCCGATTGTTTGGGGGCGGCGGGAGGAGGAGGGCAGTGCGAGCTACAGGGCTGGCGGAGGATTCGTCGATCGATTCAAGCTCCCGCACTACTTCACGCGGGTGTTCCAGGCGATGGAGGTGGAGGAGAGGGAAAAGGTGGTGGTGGCGGCGGCGGTGTGCACGTATCCTCTCCTGAGCACCGTTGTTCTTGGGATGTTTGGCTGCGTCTACGTGATCTACTTCCTCTACCTGGGCTGGAAGATGGCGGCGCTGGTGATCAACCGGAGGCTCCAGCTGCGGGTGTACGCGCTGGTGATCGCAGTGGCGCTGCTGTTGCCGATCCACGTCGTGTTCTTGGGGCTCTCGGTGCTCTCCCGGCCCAGCGAGCCGCTGTTCGAGGCGGTGGGATTCCTGGGCTTCTTGACGGTGCTGCTGTGCACGACGGTGGGCGAAGGAATTCTCGTGGTTCGTCCCATTGCCGACGCGCTGGCGATTCGGTGGCGATATGAGGAGGCCGCCTCCGCCAAAGCTTCGTCGCTGTGGGAGCCGCCGCCAGTGAGATCATCATCCTCGGAAGAACTTCCGCCTCAACGCCAGTTTGTAGTTCCTCTCACGGCGGCGGTCTTGGGTGACGAGTCTGCTACTGCTGGGGATTCTCGAGTCGAGAATATAGAGATTTCGAGACTGCACAAAGCTTTCCAGGCAGCGATGGTGAAATCGTCATCGTCGTCTTCATCGTCACCACCGAGTCCCACTCTTCCCGGAAGAACACTCGTCTCATACACGAATAGAATACTGGTATAGTTTCTTTACCTCATCTTTGATAAAAGAAATACGTATTTTTCCTCTTTACTGCGATGACGATCACCTCTAAGCTGTGGTTTTTGGTCCCAATCTTCCCGGAAGAACACCCGTCTAGAATATTGGTATAGTAAAAGAAAAGGTATTTTTCCTCTTACTGCGATGACGAATCTCTCAAAGTAAGATGTGATTTTTGGTCCCAATCTTCTCGGAAGAACACTGGTCTCATACAAGAATAGAATACTGATAATAGTTTTTTACCTCATCTTTCGCCGATCTCGGTGCTATACCAAAGATGTGATTTTTACCAATCGCACACGCAAAGCCATGGAATTTGTACACGAGCCTCCAATGGAGAAGCCGTCCATCCATGGACAAACATTATCCAGCCGCGATGGAGAAAAAAAAAACTATTATGGGCGAAATGATTATGTCGCACTGTTGACCATTTTGGGATTATTTGGATCTAGGGTTGTGATGGATTAGGGCTTATGCGCGTGAGCGAGCGAGTGCTGGATGAGGAAGAGGAGGCGCTGGAGCAGCGGCGGCAGCGCAGCATCAGACAGGATGGAGCTGCCAGAGTGTGAGCTGAGGAGGAATGTGTGAAAATGGTAGACGGCGATGAATCGAGCGAGGAGAGCGAGGGAGGGGCAGCGGCGGCCGCGGCGTAGCGATTGCTCGCCGCAATCTCAGAGGAGCGGCCACATTCTCGGCGCTGGAGCATCGATTCCGGCAATAATATGAAGAACTTCCTGCGTAAGTTCCACTTAGTAGGGAGTAGTAGCGTAGAGAGTGGGAGATCTTCGCAGCAGCAGGAATCAGCGCCATCACCGTCGGGTTCCACCTTGTCGAGCATTTCCGACTGGATTTCGTCTCTCACCTCCAGACCATCCACCGCCTCGAGTGATACTTCGTCTCACCACCACGGTGGAGGAGGAAGTGGTGCTAGAGCGCGGGTGGAAGGCACCGCAGCTCCTGCCAGAGTGAGCACCACCAATGATTCCTCGTCAGTAACGCCATCGTCACAAGCTGGGAAAACGTTTCCGTCGTATGGATCTCTCGAGGAAGAGTATCAGGTCCAGCTCGCCATAGCTCTCAGCGTCAACCAGCCAGTTGATCCAGAGGTCGCGGAGATCGAAGCTGTGAAAAGAATCAGCCTTGGTTTGTGTCCCGAGCGTTCTACGACTTCACAGGCGGACATGGCTACATACCGGTATTGGGTAAAAAACATTTTTTTCCTTCTTTTGTTGCTTTTGTTTAGGAGAATAACGTTTTGTTTTTCTGATCGCAGGCATACAATGCTCTGTCCTACGATGACAGTGTGGTGGACGGGTTCTATGACGTATACGGTGTGGCGTGTGATCCAGTTTATCCCACGAAGATGCCATCTCTTGTGGATTTGCAAATGAAGCCTCTGTCCGATGCTGCAAGCTGGGAAGTTGTTCTCGTCAACAGATTAACAGACAGCGAGCTCGCGAACCTGGAAAAGAGTGCTGCTCGCACTCGAGCTCAGTGCACGGGGGGTCCGAGTGCTTTGGCGCAAAAGATTGCTGTTTTGGTGGCTGAGCAAATGGGAGGGGCTGTCGAGAACGACGTCGACATGATCTCTGTTTGGAGGACTACAAGCTGGGAGTTGAGGACTTCTCTCAAGAGCAACATATTACCTCTAGGCTATCTTCAGATTGGCTTGGCTAGACATCGAGCTCTACTATTCAAGGTAATTCAGAAAGCGGACTTTCTTTTCGTTTTCGCTCACCTTTTCCTTCATTTTAAGTTTCCAGGTTTTGGCTGACTCTGTTGGTATTCCCTGTCGACTCGTGAAAGGAAAGCACTATACTGGAGTGGACGAGGGAGCTGTGAATATTATTAAGGACGCTGATAGCAGGTGCGGTTTTATCTTTCGTGCTTCTTCTTGCACTAATCTTGATGGTTGCAGGGAGTATATTATCGATCTCATGGGTGCTCCTGGGGCGCTTATACCTTCAGACGGTCCTGCGAGCGAGAAGAACGTTCCGCTGAACCACGACACACACCTTGGGGAAAGGCACCACAGTGAACCCGCTGATTTCGAGAATGCTCTTGCGGGCGCTGGCGCTGGCGCTGAGCGTCGTCCTGGGCCTTCTCACGGAAGATCACCCTCCTGGACAGAAGGCATTGGAGCACCCGGGGCTCGTCAAACGAAAGCCAAAGACATGTCACAGTACATGATTGAGGCGGCCAAGGAGAATCCCGGACTTGCACAAAAGCTACAAGACGTTTTACTGGAGAGCGGGATAGTTGCACCTCCAGAGTTCCTAGCGGAGTTATCCCCTACGGAACCACAGCAGAGGTCTACTGATGCGCGGCCGGATCTGAGGAGGCCCAGTCGAGTCGTGAGAGTTAAAGAGCGAGGAAAACCTCCTCTTTTAACTAAATCGCCTGCTGCAAGACCAGATGATGCGGCTGCAAAGGATAGATTACAACGCTTGAAGTCTGTGGAGGGTCTAGGAGACAGGCGACCGCTCGAGTGCCCGATGCCTTATTATCAGGCCCAAGCAGCAGCACCGACGGTGTTGACACCGGTTCACGAGAATAGCTTTCCGGCAAACTTGATAAAGAACTCACCAGTTGCTGCTTCAGCTATAACAGCAGCTGTTGTAGCCTCGTCGATGGTGGTGGCCGCAGCCAAGACAGACATCGGTGATGGTTCGTTGGAAGTTCCGATCACTGCTGCAGCTACAGCAACCGCTGCTGTAGTCGCTGCTACGTCGGCTGCAGTAGTGCTCAAGTCAGAAAGTGGATCAGGGAATTCTGATAAAGGTGGAAGTGGGGACAGCAAAACCAGGACAGAGGAATCAGGAAGTCACAGTGGTTCAAAGAAGAAAAACAATTCCAGAGAATCTGAAGGTGATGCGGGCGACTTGGAAAATGGTCGAACAGGAATCAGCAAATCCGACTCGATCCTTGATGTTGCGGAGTGGGAGATTCCGTGGGAAGAGTTGCGTGTTGGCGATCGTATAGGTCTTGGTAAGGAGTTTAAACTTCTTTTACGCGAACTCATGTTGGTGTGCAGGGTCCTATGGAGAAGTGTACCGTGGAGAGTGGCATGGAACTGTAAGTAACTGTGACAATTGTATCCTGAATTCACGACTCATATTAAATTCATGCAGGAAGTTGCCATCAAGAAGTTTTTGAACCAGGATATCTCCGGCGATGCCTTGGAAGAATTTATTACTGAGGTGGAATCTAACCATCATGGCAAATTTTTTTTTTACAAGGCTTTTTTTTTCTTGCGAAAGGTTCGATTGATGAGAAGAATGCGGCATCCAAATGTGGTTCTCTTCATGGGTGCCGTAACCAGGCCGCCAAATCTGTCGATTGTAACAGAGTTTCTTCCAAGGTACTTTGATGCGGTTTTGGATCATTGTCGATATTTGGAGCGTGCAGAGGGAGCTTGTTTAAGCTGATTCACCGGCCTTCAAACCAGGTTGACGAGAGAAGAAGGCTGAGAATGGCTCTCGACGTGGTAAGAAAATTTCTTGTTTTCTTGATATGGCATTTAGTAACGATCGTGATACCATTGAAAGGCCAAGGGTATGAACTATTTGCACTCTAGTACCCCGATGATAGTTCACAGGGACTTGAAATCTCCGAACTTGTTAGTCGATAAAAACTGGGTTGTGAAGGTACAGTAAAAGTTATCGGTTTTGTTTAGTAACACGAAATTTTGCAGGTTTGCGACTTTGGATTGTCTCGAATGAAACATCACACTTTCTTGTCTTCGAAGTCACAGGCAGGCACGGTGGGTACACAAGACTCCCTTACTTTTCTCTTGGGTAGTTTTTTGGATTTGAGAGGACTTGTTTTTAACAGCCTGAATGGATGGCACCAGAAGTATTAAGAAATGAACCGTCTAACGAAAAGTAAGAATCGGCTTTGCTTTGGTAAATTGACACGAGCTCCTTTCGTTTGCAGATCGGATGTCTACAGCTTTGGAGTTATCCTTTGGGAACTGGCTACTCTGCAACAGCCGTGGCATGGAATGAACTCAATGCAAGTCGTCGGGGCTGTCGGTTTTCAAAACAGGAGGCTCGACATCCCAGCGGACATGGATCCCGCCATCGCAAAAATCATCCAGGAGTGCTGGCAAAAGTATGTGTTTCCTTCTTAGATTTTGTAGCGCCTGACAAAACAAATCCTCCGTTTCTTTTGGTGGCAGCGATCCTGCTCTTCGTCCAACTTTTCATGAAATAATGGATTCCCTGCGGCCTTTCCAAAGACCTGTTATCCCCTCGCAAGGGGAGGCAGGAGGAGGTAAGCAAAAGCAACCACGCAAGGCTTCGTAGGAACAAAAAATGGCTGGGGCTCCGTTTACTAATGTATCTGTAAAGTACAGTAATTTATAGGTGGTCGGAGACGGATTCTAGGAAGGAAGAAAAACAGGATCAAGGATGTCAAAATTGACAGAAGTTCAGGGTGGAAAGACAGGAACTATCGTCTTCGGTTTTGGTTACATGGTCGGACAAACGAGACGAGGAATAAGACGAGGAAGACGAAGATGAAGAAGCAGCGTTTCTAGCAGGGCCGAGATGGAGACCGGAAAGTAGAGTATAAGGCGCAGCATTTGTGGGATCGAGCTCGTAGACGTACTCCGCAGCCTTCCCGGCCCTGTGAGAATCACCAGCAGCAGTGGAAGCACTGAGAAGCGACGTCCAGGCCACAGCATCCGGCTCATAAGGCATGGTGGCGATGAGATCTTCGGCCTCTCTGAGCCTTCCAGATCTCGCCAGAGCATCAACGACGCACATATAGTGATCCAAGCTCGCAGCTATGGCGTAGTCCGCCGAGAGGGACGCAAAGTGGGAGTAGACGTCGCTGAGAAGGCCGGCGTGAGCACAGGCCAGGAGAACGCTCACAAAGGTGACGGAGTTTGGAGTGAAGCCGTGGAGCTGCATGGCGTGAAAGATCTCGAGAGCTTCGTGGCTATGGCCGTTTAGAGCAAAGGCCGCGAGCATGGAGCTCCAGGCTTTGACGTCGCGGTGCTTGAGATCGTCAAATACGAGCTTGGCCTCGCGGAGGTGGCCAAAGTTTCCATACATCGCTACCAGTGCCGTCTGGATCGCGAAGTGGGCGATCCATCCTCTCCCCTCGTCGGTGAGAATGGAGTGGACGATCCTTCCCTCGGCGACGCCGGAGCACGAATCGATGATGGCGGTGAAGGTGACGCTGTCGGGAGCGATGCCTTCGAGATCCATGGCGCGGAAGAGATCGAGAGCCTCGCGGCGGCGATGCCCGGACTGGGCATACGCGGTGATGATCGAGTTCCACGCGACGACATTGTTGTTCTTTCGCGGGATCTGGTCGAAGAGCTGGCGCGCCGCGTGGAGATCGCCGGCGCGGGCGTAGGCTGTGACCATCGTGGTCCACGAGACGCTGGATCGCCGCCTGGGAGGAGTGTTCTCGAAGAACTCGCGCGCCTGGGAGGGAGAGTGATTAATCGCATAGGCCGCGAGCATCGCTGCCCATAGCACGGCGTCGCCGCCAGCGCCATCGATCCCAGTGGCGCGATCGAAAGCCCGCCTCGCGTCCTCGATCTTGCCCAGTCTGCCATACATCTCCACCAGCGCGGTGGAGATCGTGATCTCTCCCTGGAATCCGGCCGCGAGGAGCTCGGCGTGGATCCACATCCCCAGCTCCATCGCTAGCGACTGGCCGCAAGCGTCGAGGATCGCGACGAAGGTCACGCGATCTGGGCGAGCGCCCTCGAGATCCATCGCGCGGAAGAGCCCCAGCGCTCGCGCAAAATCCCCTTCTCTGGCAAATGCGCAGATCATCGCGTTCCAAGAGACTGTGTTCCTCTCGGGCATTTGATCGAAGAGAAGCTTTGCTCGATCGATGCGATTGCTCTTGGCGTAGGCGACGAGCATCGCGGTCCACGACGCTACGTCCCTCCTGGGCATCCCCGAGAAGAATTTCTCCGCGCGATCGAGATGCCCGCTCTGGGAGAGGATCGAGAGCATGATGTTCCACGAGAATTGGTTCCTGGGATCCATCCGGTGGAAGAATTCGCTGGCGTCCTCGATCGAGCACTTGCCATACATCTGGAGCACGAGATTGGAGAGGAACTCGTCGCCGCGCAGCCGGCCGTGCTTGATCATCTGGGCGTGGATCCGGCGGCCATGGGAGAGCGCCCGCGCGGATCCACACCGCCGGAGCAATGATCCATACGTGACGCTGTCCGAGGAAGACGATGAGGATTCTAGGGATCTCACTGCCCTCTCGAGCTGCTCTAGGACTAGCGCTGGATCGTCGCTCTTGCTCGCGTGGAGGAGGAACGGCGCCATGCCGCGCGGCGTACCGCCAAGTAACGGTATCTTACCGCGCGGTATGGCGGGGTAACTGACACTCAAAGCAATCCAATGTGGATGACCCGCGCATTTCTCTTTTTTGAAAAAAGTGCCCTATTGTTTGTTCTAGAAATAGGGGATTAGGGTTTCATATCTCCGGCGATGGAGGCCGAGAGAGAGAGGCGCTTGAGCCGGCGGATCTCCGGCATTGTCGTCGCCGCGGCCAAGGCGGTGTCCAAGCTCACCGAGGGGTAAGATCACAGCTCCAGCGGCGCTGTATTCTCTGTGCTTGTGGTGTGCTTACAGGCAGAAAGATCCAGAGGAGGACCCGGATTTCGTCGCGAGGAATCCTCAGTGGGAGCCGGAATTGCCGCCGATCCATGGCGTGCGGCGGCCGACGGATGCGAAGGCGCAATCTACTGCTGCGCTGCTTGCGGCACTTGACGAGCTCCCTCCCATTGCGATCGATTCGGCCGCCAAGCAAAACTGGAAGAAGGCTTACAAGACAGTGAAGAGGATTTTGGTAAGTCACTCCACCCACCTGTGTAGTGTAAAGCTTTTCACTTTCGTTTCTTCACAGATTGTGAGAAGGAAGGCAATGCGTAGTGCTCTTGGAACTGGAGCTCAGATGGAAGGACATGCGCTGGGGGTGTGGAGTCCTTATAGCACGGCGCGTTTGAAGCTCTTTATGATGCTCTACAACCAGTAAGCATTCTAGCGCTGAAGTTTTTGCTTCAAAGTTCTCACTACTGTTCCAGGAAAGCGGAGTATGTCGTTCTTTGCTTGATCATATCACACCTCTTGGTGCTCATCTTCCAAGGATCATCCCAAGAACAATGGACTCACGTCCGGAAGTTCGACCTCGACTTTGCCGATGCGACGCTTACTCTGTTCTACACGTAAGTATAAAGATCTAAGAGGTATTTTAGCATTGACATTCTTTTTTGTCTCAGCATTGAGATGATTCTTCGGATCCTCTGTCTTGGATTTATCAGAGGTCCCAACACCTACCTGCGGGATCCATACAATAGGCTCGATTTTGTCATCGTGATTGATTCCTGGTAAGTCGGTCTTTCGTGTTTTCTATACTGAAGGTCTTAAAGTTTAGGGTCCATATTGGTGTAAGAAGTGTGACTGGAAGCGAGTTCTTTGCACGCATTGCAATTCTTCGTGCATTTCGAGCCCTGTTAGTTTTGAAGCATTTCACGTTCTTCGCTGATGTCATAGTATGTTCTCTGAGGTTATGTTCCCATAACAACGTATGACGAAAGTGTGAATCACTTGCTAGGCTATCATGTCTGCAGTTGGAAGGAGCATTGTTCCTCTTGAGAACGTCATTTACTTGACACTGTTCATTATCGTCTTCTATGCGCTCCTTGGTATTGAGTTTCTCGAGGAAACTTTAGATCAACGGTATGTATATACGAGCCTTTTTCTGTAGACTAAAGCGTTTTGCTACTCATCCAGGTGCATTCGAACGACAGATAACCAGTTGGCCTATCCAGAGCGGTTTTGTGACGCGAAGAAAGTGACGGATGGGTACAAGTGCCCGAGCTCACAAAGTCAGAAATGTCTGGTAAGGAGTTGATCTTTATCATCGAAACAGTAGGTAGTTTTCCTTAAATGTTTACTCTTGCAGTGCAGGTGTCCGGTAATCCCAACTGGGGATCTACAAACTTTGATCAGTTCCACTATGCCCTGCTCACTATGTTTCAGGTTCTCATTTGACAATTTTGTGTCTTTTAAAATTGTTCTGACGGTCGCTGCTTGTTTCAAGGTCATATCCTTGGAAGGTTGGAGTCTCTTGATGTACAGCATCAAGGATGCCGAAGCTGCGCAAGCAGGTGCTGCTTCTAATGTTTCTTCTTCTTGTTGACTCCTCAAGTCTCTTGGATGCAGATGCATATTTTATGACTTTAGTCGTTTTTGGCACATACTTGCTTATTAATGTTTTCATTGCTGGTATAAGTGGAGTGTTCCTTCGAGTGAGGGCTGAACATCAGGCAAGAACTTTATCTCTCTGAATTCTATATGTTTTGTGTTTTCTTTTTCCAGATGCTGCTAAAGAAAAGCCGCCAACCGAACCAAGTTACTTTCTACAACGCAACGGTAATGGCAAATGTTCTCAAAGACGACATTATTAAGGACGATGAGAGGAACAAGAGATGGCACATCCGTTTCATAAACAGATCAAAGAAAATGCACCGGGACGTCATTCGTGCTGTAAGTCGTACTCGGTCGTCCGTGAAGGCGGCCTTTCAGGCCACCTCGTTCAGGTTCAGTAGACAGTTCTCCATGGCTGGGGGTAGCCGGCGGTTTTCACGAACTTACTCACGGGCGCTGAGTCGTAGTGTGACCATGGGTATGAGAGCAGCAATGGACTTGTCGCATAAGTCCCGTGCAATTGTTGAAAATCCAAACTTCAACCGGGGGGTGCTATTGGCGGTCACTATAAACATCATCATCTTGTGCCTGTACAAATATGGGATGTCGAACGATTTACTCTATACTCTTTGTACGTCTGATGGTTTTTGTTTCTGGAATTTCTTTCTGACGTCCTTAACATGGTGACAGATGCTATTCAAGCGGTGCTGCTTGTTATATTTGCCACAGAGATGGTTTTGCGATTTCTTGCGTATGGACCTGGGCCATTTATTGCAGACAGTGAGTACATACTGTTTATCTTGTCCTTCACTGAACATGCCTGTCTTTATCAGAAATGAACGTGTTCGATGTTTTCGTGATCTCCGTGTCTGCTGGGGCTTTGGTTTCAAGAGCTTATCCCAATATCTCTTCAGTTCGGGTTTTGCGATGGTTTTACTTGTCGAAAAAGTATGTGGATAAACATCCAAGTACAGTGGTAAGGCTCGTGTACACAGTTTTTTTTTTTTTTTTTCCTGCTCTTACTTTTCTTTTAACTGACTTTAACTTCTCCCAGGCCACATGTATAAAAAGTGTGGGCTCTCTTGTTAGTGTTTTTTTCTTCTACCTCCTTGTTATTACAATTTGCTCCATTATCAGCATGGAACTGTACAGTGGTCAATACTATAACTTTCCGGACGGTTATCCCAGGGGAAATCATGACTCCATGCTGCAGACTATGCTTTTATGGTTTACCGTCACAACAGGTGAATCCTGGGTCAACCAAATGTGGAACTCTATGAGACCCGGAGTGAAATATAAGTAAGTAAATACTACTATGGTTTTTTCTCTCTGACACGAAGTAATGGTTTTTCTTTCACAGTTGGCTGGCGCCCTTTCTCTATGTATTATACTACTGCATGACAACTTATGTTATCTTAAATCTTATTATTGCCGTCATCCTGGAGAGGAGCGAACTTACTGACAACCAAAAAAAACAGATACAACGAGTAAGTACCTGGTTTAATAAAAACTTCTGTCGATGATATTTTTCTCTTTCAGGTAGAACATATGAAACTACTGAGGCGGATGCATAGCAGGGCTTATATACGAAGCGGAAGCTGGGTTGTAGACGCTGTGGAAGGAGCCCAGGCCGGTTTCAAAAAGGTGGCATCTCGGGTTTTAAGCATGAATGTGAGGGCATTGAAAGATGGTAGCAGACGGGATGAACGAGAAAGAAGACGAACAAGGGATGGAGGATCTGAACGGGCCAGTAGTGGACAGTCGGAGCTTCCAGGGGCAGTTTCTGAGCAGCCACCAGGCAATACAAGCGTCACATTACAGCCCTCAACATCTGCTGCTGCAGAACAATCCCGCACCAGTTCTGAAGCAACATCAGAGAAGTTGCATCGCCGCTCTTCTCAAGTTATTCAAACGTCCGGCTTTCCAACCGATATTGGCGAAAGGCGGGAGTCGAGAACTGCACTAGAGAGCGCAGTTCTCACGCTTGCAACAATGACCAAGCCACCTGTCGTAAGGGCTCCAAGCAGAATGGACAGGAGGCTGAGCCGGAAAATGAGTAGAACCGCCAGCAAAAGGCAGTCGTTTCAGCTAGCTGAGTACGAGGAGCTTGAGAAGAGCATTGCAACTTTAGAGAGGCCGTGGTACTTGCAAGAAGGGTCACTTCTTCTGTTTGGACAAGGAAACGCCGTCAGGAACTTGTGCCAGCTAGTTGTGGGAAGTGTTTGGTGGTGGTGGTTCTCAATGTTTTGGGCTGTTATCAGCGTGTGGACTGTGGTCGAGATGAAGCCGAATGGCGATCCCCTCGTTCTCAAGTCCTTCCTGCCTGTACTGCACAACCTCGTGTTTGTGGTAAGCATCTCAGTTCCATGCTCTGATTTCTTATGCTATGTGATTGGAACAGGTATTCTTCGCGGAGCTTCTCATGAGAGTTATCTCTCAAGGCCTGATCTTCACTCCCGACGCCTACATGGGGGAGTTTTACAACCTGATCGACGTTTTTATACTTATCATCGACGCACTTAACATGAAAACGACGTGGAGCGAGAATTCAGCAAGGCCTATTCACGCTCTGCTTGCGCTCCGGCCGTTTCGATTCGTGTGTCGGCTCACCGGGTTGAAGAGTTTATTCGGTAATCTGGTTAGTACCTGTCCGGCGATTGCGTCAGTTTTGCTATTCACTTTCACCATCTTTGCAATCTTCGGCTCTATCGCTATTCAACTCTTTCGTGGCCACCTTTACTCTTGTAACGACACTAATGTGAGTCACCGAGCCTACTGCACGGGCTATTACATCAACAAAGTCTCGCTTATGGCTCCGCGTGCATGGACCAATCCTGCGTTCCACTTCGATGACATTGGCAACGCTCTTCTCACCCTGTTTATCACGTCTAGCTTCGACAATTGGGTTGGAAACTGGTTATATCCGGTCATGGACATTGCTCCCGAGAATCATCAGCCCCGCCGAAACCACAGCCCGGTTTACGCTCTTTTCATGGTGGCCTTTGTCTGCGCTGGAGGTTTTTTTATAATGCGAGTTTTCGTGGGAGTGTTCATCAACGAGTTTGGAGTTAGATCCGGTTCCAAGCTTCTGACAGAACGGCAGAAGCTCTGGAGGGACATGAACCGTATAATTCAGAAGATGAGACAGAGACCAGTGCCGCGGCCGCAGAAAGATCCCATCAGGAAGTTTTGCTATCATTTGGTCCATCATAAGTACTATCCCCACGGTATGGTAATCGTCATTCTTAGTTACTGCGCATTTCTGGCCTCTCATGTTGCCAACCAGACCAAGGCAACCTCCAGAAGCCGGCAGAAACTTCATTGTTTCTACACAACTCTCTTCTTGGTAGAGATGTTGCTGAAGATAATTGGTAATGAGGTGAGTACAATCGGCAACAAACTCTCGGGCTACTCTTCTAACTTCTTTCTTTTTCTTTTTCGGCGAGTGCAGTTTAGCGTTTACAAACATGACCACGCTAGTCATTTGGAAGCTGCGCTGTCCTTGACAGCTGCTGCGTGTTTGTTGCCTAAGAAAGGCTCGCCTCGTCAAACTATAGGCCGCGTTGCATACAGCTTGCGGCTTTTTTGCCTTATTCCTCACATTCCAAGGGCCCGGGTGCTGATAAACACTATAATCGTCTGCTTCCCAAGCATGGCAGAGATCATGGCTCTTCTCATGATCTGCCTCTTCGCGTTCTCGGGCATTGGCTTTCAAATGTTTAGTCAAGTGAAGGATGGAGTTTGCATTGGGCCTGCCATCAACTTCAGGAGCTTTGTAAACTCGTTCATCACCGTATTTCAGGTGCACAATGTTTTCACAAGTTGGCACAGATTAACTCTGTAGTCTTACAGGTGACAACTGCTGATAACTGGTCTTGCATTATGGGCGATGTTATGGTGGCGCCGCCATACTGCACGAAAGGTTCGTCGCTAATGGCAAACGACTGCGGTTTTCCTGTAGCGGGCGTTGTCTACTTTGTGGCGCTCATCGTCGTGGCAAACAACATATTCATGAACTTGTTCGTGGCTATTATCTTGGACGTGATCACTTTCGGGCTGGTGAACGAGAACTCGATGATCACTCCGAATCATCTCGAGGACTACAGGGTCCTATGGTCCAAAGACGCATTTGATCCGAGGTAACTTCCACATTTTCTCTGCTCTTTTCCTCGGAGCCTTTATGCATGCGTACGGATTTGGCAGGGGAACTGGATTTATTGGCATTCACAAGCTCAGGAATTTTGTGAATTCTCTCGGGATTCCTTTGGGACGTCGACACAATGCCTCGTCAGAATGGTGAGCTATAGAAGCCTTAACATTCATCGAGATATGATTTGATTCTTGTTTCTTGCCGAGACAGGTACGCAAGGATAGAGTACGAAGTCATGAGCTTCCGAGTTCCAAACAAAGGAATTCCTTTCAAGCAACTCCTTGAGACGCTAACACTCTACAAGATTGGACCCACGGTAACACAAAAATGTTTCTAGCTCGTTCTAAACGCTAGCTATAATTCGTCACCAGGGCCTTCCACTCTCGCTACGAATCGAGAGGGAGAAACACATCCAGGGCATTTACAGAGGTGGCGCGGTCATCAAAATCCAAGCCGCGTGGAGGGGACATCTGGTGAGAAGAGTTAAGCTGAGAAAGAAAGAAGAAGAGACTGAAAAGGAGACTGAGAGGACGAGAGAAAAGGGGAGGCAGGAGGAGATAGAAAAGGAGGAGAAACTCAAAAGTGAATCAATTTTGTTAGAAGATCTAGAAACCTGACTAGTAAAATGTAAAATGCTATTCTTTCTTTTGAAAAGATGGTGGATGTGGATGCTCCAACAATGTAGTAGCTCGTTTCATTATTCCAGGGGATTATAGAAACCATGTCTCGGTCGCTATAGTAGTTTCTCGACGCTAACATCGGGGGCGATTGTTATGATACTGCGATAGCAGAGGAAGAACTCCCGCCTATCTGTTTTGCTCCCTGTTTGGAAGGAGCTCCGGCGGGTGTGTCTTTCGATTTGTTGAGATGGTGGCTTGGATGATCGTTGTGAGGTTGAGACTTGGAAGCTCTCGGATTAGCCTGGTGGTAGACCCAAGTTGTAGGTAGAGTCAAGTCAGACAGAAGAAAAAAAGAAAAGAAAAAGAGAGAATTCGGTCACCTTTCTCACGTCAGGTTTGGTGGATGGCTCTTGGTAAAACCCAGGCATCGGAGTCGCTTTAAAATTCAGGCCCCGTCGAAGCTCTTTGATTTCTGCTTGCGTCTCTTCCTGCGGAGCAATGCTCAGGATTAGAACGCCACGCTAATACGACCAGCAAGTTTAAACACCTGTGTCTTTGCTTGGATCTTGCTCTTTTCAGCCGCCTTGGCACTTTGTTTCTCTTCCATTCTCCGGTTAAACTGTTCCAAAGCACTCTGATCAACACCACTCCATAAAAAAAAAAAAAACAATAGCTAGCAACTAGCAAGAAACAAGCTTCACCTCTTTTCTCTTCTGGGCACGCTCGTTGCTCTTGAAGGCAAATCCGTTCGCGGTAGCAGTACCACTGCCATTCAATCTGGTGCTTTTCTCCTTGTCCTTCGATGACGGCGGCCTGTGGATAGCGTTAAGTTCCACAGCTTGTTGCATGCACACAAACATGTCTAGGCAGGAAACGAGGCAAGCTCAAAAGGATACACCGCACTTTCATTCTTTGTCCTGGCGACTCGGCTGGGCCTGTCACAAGACATGTGCTTTTAAAGTGAGCAACCGATGTTCACAAGCAAAGCCACCTTACTTACGCGACAGACTTTTTCCCTGTCAATTGTTCCGTCGTTGTTTTGCTTGTCACCTGCATTGAAGAGACGACCACAGCAGCTAAGTGGTTTCAACGTCAGCAATTTAATCTCACCTGCGTTGCGCGGACTCCCGGAATAAGTCCCTGTTTTGAATTCCACTTGTTGATAACCTGCTGCTCCGTGGCACTAGCGCGTGCTGATTTTGTTTTTCTGCTCTGTGATGCTGCTGCTAAAACGCTAGCAGGAGCAGTGGCATCGTTCTTCACTCCAGTTTCTCCTTTAAGAATCGTCTTTTTGTTTGCCAGGCTTAAGTCTGCTGCCTGCAAGGTCTACAGAAAAATAACGAAATCGTGCGAAGCATCTTTAAAACTCGGAAGTGGAAGAGATATGGACTCACCTTGGCAGAAAAAACTGTGGAGTTTGTCGACTCTTCGTCCACTTCTTCCTTGGAATTCATTGTTGTTTGCTGCTCGGAATAAATAGCTGACTCCATCGGACACTGTACGTCCACCTGTGTTGCCAATGCTGACGCTAACGGCTCTTGTTCTTCATGGCCTTCCACTTGATCCATTCTCTCCTCTGGATCATTTGTGTACTCCACAGCTCCTTCCTTCTCTTCTTCTTCTTCCTTTTTTTCTTCTTTTTCTTCTTCCTGCTCTTCTCCTTCCTCTTGTTCTGCGTGCTCTTCGTGTTCTTCTAGTTGCGCCATTGGTTCTTGGTCACCAGAGACGGCCTTTTTCTCCAGTGACACTGTTCGTATATAGTGATCGAAGAATGCAGCCTTCCTGGCGACCGATCCGGGGCTTGCAGCCCTGCTCACATCTTCCTGGAACTCTTTGGGTATAGAATTCCACCGCGTTACCGCTAAGTTCTTGACAGTCTCGATGGAGCTCCTCCCAAAGAAGATCGACACCCCTTCCTTCTCGGGAGCAATCTAAGAAACAAATTCAGACAAGCGCGCGGAGCGAAGTGAGAAAGAAATTATTTTTTTACCTGATCGCTGTGGCCGGCGCCGCTGATCTTCTTGCCGGGGCTGGAATCGCAGGAGAAAGCCCCCATTTCGTCCCTAGGCCGCTACCATATGGCAGAGGCTCATTGAGAAGGCGGAGATCACTCACCGCATTGCGCTGCTCGCCGCGATCCTTGCTTTCGAGGCATGATTCGCGAGCGCCAGCGCCGGATTCTTCCTCGTCCTAGCTTGCTGCTTCTGGTGGAGATCGAGGGGCGCAGGCGCTGGAATGGCGGCCAGGGCTGTGCAGAGAAAGATCCATCACAGAGGAATGGAACTAGCGGCCAAAGCCAAGGAAAGAAGAACCTCGTTTTAGCTAAGATGATCAATTAGTGTTGATACGTGACCTGCAACCTAATCACTGTGGGCCCTATAGCTTTGCATCGAAGGTTCGATCCTAGCAAACCCAAATTATTGTGTCTATTATTGTAACAATTTAATATAAAATCTTGATATTTGATCTAAATTAAATTCATATTTAAAACAAAAATGATATGCTTTTCTTAAAACAACATTTGGTTTACTTATTTATTTTTACTAATTTTTTTGACTTATTGAAATATTAAAAATTTGACTTGGTGTACAAAAACTTTATACATTTTATATTTTATAAACATAAGATTAATCTGAATAAATATCAACTATTAGGTGGTCAAACTATTCAAATATATTCTAGGTATATTCACTACTGGCTTAGGTTTGCTTAAGCAAACAAAAAATTCAAGGCTACTCATCAAATTTATAATATTTAATATTTTATTTATATTAAATGGTTTAATTAACAAGGATAGGTATTTGATGCCCATCTATCCTTAATATAAGGATAATGAGAAAACACTCTTTGGAAAGATTCATATAATACCAAGTTACAATCATTTTGTAAAGACAAAAAGCAATTTACTTTATCACAAAAAATATTTGGAGACCAAATAACATTATAATTATTAGAATATAAAACTATATTTCCATCTATTTGCATTTTAAATTCACAGTTTTTATATTTATTTGAACCTACAAACCATTTTATTTTCTGTTTTACATATATAGCCAAAATACAATTTAGATGTAAATATAAAAGAGCTTTTTTATTTGGAGATAATAAAAATTGTGAACCTCTTAAGTAATAAGAAGGTAAAGTACTCATTAATGTTGTAATATAAATCCTACAATCCTTTAAAGTATTAGTTTTAATATTTAAATTCTCTAATCGTTTTGGTTGATGAAAGTTCTTAATAATATACTCAATTGCATAGTAATCAGTTATTATTGTAACAAATGTTGCTCGTAAATTTTGTATTGCATCACGATATATTTGTAATAAGTTATTTAGTTGATTTCTCACATTAGTCCCATGATCATATTCAATAGTATTATCATTTGCACTACATTGATCATAGTGTTTTCCAGATGTACTATATACCCACATCTGATTAACAATATTTAATGGACCAACACTATCATCTTGTATTGTGAATGGAAATTCCATACTTTGTCCTTTAGGCAATTCTTCTGAGGATATATTATTAATCATTAATTCCATTGCATATAAAATTAAATTAACACTCTCTCGACTTATTTTACCATTTCCCCCATATTCAATTATAGAATTAACTTTAAAGCATAAACATAATATGAAGAAACTTATTACTTTCATATTTTATTAAGAGGATTACTAGTTAAATATTAACTTCTGTATATATCATGGTTTTAAAATATACATAGTCCAAATAAACAGATAATATATTATTATACTTTAAGTAATGTTCAGACAAAAATAATGTCTGTTAGTCATGGTT